AACATGTGGTATCAACCTAAATATCCATCAACTGATCGGCAGATAATGAAAATGTGGTATACACACACACACACACACACACACACACACACACACACACACACACACACACAAACACACACGTATATAGATGCACACACATACCATGGAATACTATTCAGACATAAAAAACAAAAAGAAAAAAAAGAATGGAATGTCTTTTGCAGCAACTCAGACGGAATAAATGAACTTTTATATACCTAATCCTGAATTGTACCCCACACCTTTAAAATAAAAAATAAAGACTCACTCAAAAGAAAAAGAAAAAGAAAGAAAACCAAATAATGCATGTTCTCATATCCAGATGGAAGGCAAATTAATTATCTGTAAAGGCATAGGATGGAGGAAGGTGGGAAGGGGTGGAGGGATGAAATATCACTTATCTGGTACAACGTGCACAGGTGGGGGTGGTGGGAATATTTGAAGCCCCAGACTTTTTGCCACTATACAATGCATCCATGAAACCAAAAACTATTTGTCCCACCCAAAGCTATTGGAATAAAAAGAAAAAGTAAAAGAGCAAACTATGGAAATGAAAAGATATATTCAATACATATGACTAAGGGTTCATATAAAGAATGAAACTCCTAAAAATTAGTGAGCGAAAAACTCAATAGAAAGACAAGTGAGGAAACTGAAAACAGGCACTTTACTAAAGAAGAAATCCAAATGGCCAATAAACACATGAGAAAGTGCTCAACCATATTAGTAATCCAGAAAATTAAAATCATCACAAGATTGACAAAAATAAAAAGACTAAGTCTTGTATGAAATAGGATGTGGAAAAACACAGCTTACACAAATTGCTTGAGAGGTGCACGGATACAACCACTTTGGAGAACAGACTGCATTACTTAGTCTGTGGAAGCTACACAGACTGCTAATTTGTAGGAGTTTCATTCTTTATATGAACCCTTAGTCATATGTATTGAGTATATCTTCTCATTTCCATAGTTTGCTCTTTCATTTTTTCTTTTTATTCCAATAGCACTCTATGACCCAAGCAGTTTATTCCTGGTCAATATACTCTCAAGACGTGTGCATGTGAACATTAGGGAATATAAGAATGTTTACAGCAGCATTTTCCACAATAGCCAAAAATGAAAAATAATCTAATGCCCACACACGTCATAAATTCATACAATAAAACACTATCCAACAATGAAAATGAACTCTCAGCTACAAAAAAACACAAATGTATCCTTAACAAAATAATTTTAAGCAAAAAAGATATGACTAAATACAGCTTTGTTTCTATTTATTAAAAGTTTAAAAACTACACTGTTTTGGAATTCATACTTGGTTAGTAAAAATGTACTAAAGGCAAAAGCCAGAAGAGTGGTTGCTTCAGAAGATGCGATGTAAGACACAGAAAGGTTTTTGGAGACTGCCAATTTTCTATTTCTTTTATTGTTTTAAGTTATGGTAAAATATACATAAAATCTACCATCTTTGCCGGGCTCCGTGGCTCAGCCGGTAATCCCAGCACTCTGGGAGGCTGAGGAGAGTGGGATTGCCTGAGCCTGTGGGTTCAAGGCCCACCCGGGCAACTTAGACCTCGTCTCTATAATAAAAGTAAAAATAAATTAGCCAGGTGTGGTAGCACTCATCTGTAGTTCTAGCTACCTGGAAGGCTGAGGTGGAAGAATCGCCAGAGCCCAGCAGGTCGACACTAGGGTGGCCAGGAGCGTGCCACTACACTCCAGCCTGGGCGATGGAGTGAGACTCCAACACAAAAAAAGAAAAAAATCTACTGTCTTAGCCACTCAGTGTACAGTTCAGTGGGTACTGTGAGCACATTTAGTACATTCAAACTGTTGTGCAGCCATCACCACCATTCATCTCCAGAACCTTTTTCATCATCTCCAAACTGAAACTCTGTACCAGTCAAATAGTAACTCTCCATCCTCCACTTTCCAGTCCCTGGCAACTACCATTCCACCTTCTCTATGAATTTGAGTTCTCTAGATGCCTCAAGTGATGGAATCATATAGTGTTTGTTCTTCTGCCACACTGGCTTCTGTCATTTAGTGTAATGTTTCCAGTGTTCCTCCATGTCATAGCATGTGTCAGACTCTCCTTTTTAAAGGCTGAATAATATTGCATTGTTATGTATGTGTCCCATCTTGTTCATCCATTCACATGTTGGTGGACATTTGGGTGGCTTCTACCTTTTCGCTATTGTGAATAACACTGCCATGAGCATGGGTGTACAAACATCTGTCGAGTCCCTGCTTTCAATAATTTTCTATTTCTTGATTAGTTTTAAAATTACTCATAGTGTGAACCAATGCTGAAATCCATTTTCTATATGTGCATCACACAAAAAGGTTTTTAAAACATCCTACAGATCTGGGATTCAGTTTACATGGAAAAAAATCTCTTCTCTGATTCTATTTTTGCACTATTTCCTATGTTCTTCTATCTCTTACCCTCCTATTGAATCAAACATTGTCTTCTT